AATTAAGAGCGTGGAATTAATCAGGCTCACGAGTTGGGTCCGGTCACCAGCGAGAAGTTGTAGCGAGCTTCTCGGAACCGAAGCCCCGGCGGGGAAGCAGCCGAAGACTGAGCCGAAAAAATTGCTGATGCCAAGAGCGAAGAATTCCTGATTAGGTCTTATCTCGTAGCCTCTGTCGCGGGCCCAGATCTTCCCCAAGGAGACGGTTACCGTGAAGGAAATGATGGCGATCAGAATCGAATCCACAAGGATGAACTTGATGAGATCGATGCTCATCTCCGGTATTTTCGGAGCCAAGAAGCTGGAGTCGACCGAGAAACAAAGACGATTCTGAGACTTCCCCGGAATTGAGCTTCATTCGAGCCATCGATAGACATTTGAGCCCGATGCTTACGATGTCCGCGATCTCACCTGTTTGGTATGTCCAACACCGTGTCGAAGCCATTGTTCTTGACATCACAGGCATTTGAGAAAATTACGCAGATTATGACAACGATGATCTCGATGAGCAGCGGCATACGGAACTTGCGCAGGAGGTAGGGATCGACGAAATGTTTCACTGCCAAGATCACCAGGATCACAATGATCGCCAGCGATAACGTGGGTACATGTGTCCGACCCATATCTTTTAAGAAGTCGATATGAGTCTGCGAAATACGAGTTACGAGACAGATCACGCAGTTGGCCCAGAATCACACATCGGGCGACAGCCACTCCACACCCCGATAAATCCTCATGATGCATTCATGGAATCCTACCGATCGAACACGGTCATTTGGGCGAAAGTCAAATGGGCGGATAGACCATTTGGGTGAACTGCCGTTTGGGCGGATTACCATTCGGGCGGATGGCCAGTTGGGTGGATTGCCATTTGGGCGGATGGCCAGTTGGGCGAAATACCAATTGGGCGGACCGCCTATTGGGCGAATACCGTTCGGGCGGAGAGCCAGCCAGGCTGTGAGGGATGGATGGGAGAACCCGATATGAGCAGGCTAGTCTTGATATCGCCTCGCACCTGTGATATCCTGAAATGAATCATGTCCACTACATGAAACGTCCTAAGTCCACTACAAAAAAAAGACGACGAAGTGAAACCTGTCTGTTGTTCTCCCTAGAAGATACCGATCCAGGCTTGTGGGGTCATTTGTGAAAGCCCTCGCGGAGAGCTTTCAGAAAAAAAATATGA